TAGGGGGGCAGGAGGGAGCGGGATTATGGCGCCATGCGAAAACAGGATCAAACATAATCCCTGTGAACGTTCAAACCTCCATCTTGTTTACAGGGACAGCGAGATTGAGGATTTACCCATCAATCCATCGTTCCCCAGTACAATGAGTTTACGATCAATCCGTTCACTCTATTCATCAACGGCTCAGTTGCAATGCGTGTTTTGTTTTTTTTTTCTTTTACGCATTAGTATTATTGGTCAAACATTCTCTGAAAAATATAGGTACAAGTGTTGTCACTGGGGTGGTACCTTTTCAAAAGGTACTTTTGTACCTTTTAGGTAAATGTACCTTTATGTACCTTTGAATGTACCTTAAGTTGCCAATATCGTACAAAAGTGTACCTTTTGAAAAGGTACCTCTCCTGTGACAGCTTTTGTATAATTTTTTCTGAGTGTGTGTGTGTGTGTGTAACAGGCGCACAGTTGACATGGGGGACAGGGGGGTCATGACCCTCACAGTTTTGATCTGTACAATAATTAGTAACAATTATAATGTTTCCTATCAAATCAACATCAAATGCTAAATGTAAATAATGCAGAAGATATAACACAATAAATGCTGTGATAGAATCACTGTTTGGACATGTATTGGGAGTTTCCCTTTCATGGGAACTTCGAACTGCGTCCTCTAGGGGTCGCTATGGGGAACGCCTCGTCGTGACGTGTCTCGTTCCCTACTCAGGGAACCATGGTTACATAAGTAACCTGAGACGTTTTTCTTCTTCTTCATCCAGAGTTTGTTTTCATTCCTGATTTTAGTTAGATTATTATTATTTTATTTAATTTTTCATGAAAACCCACTTCATATTAGCTACACATTCAATGGCACTCTCCTCTAAGACAGTGAAAATACAGTTATATGAGAGTTACAGATAACTACATTGTCTGCAAATTCATTAAACCCGTAGAATATAACGGTGTTATGACAAATATGAGAAATTCGTTATGGTGGTATATTCGGTCTCCACATTTTAATTTTTTAGGGAATAGTGCATCTGACCCTGATCTAAATAGTTCTGTCTTAAATCAGAATATGTTAGACTATTTTGTATTAATTGTTTTAGTGCAAGAGGGATGGCTCTACACATAGTAGGCTATTATATTCTCTAAAGGAACATTTTTATCGCAAATTTCTCCATGAATGCATTATATTGAATCAACTGACCATCTTCATCTACTTTTTTTCACAAACTATTCTTGTTTAAATAGTGTCTTCCTATTTATTGTAATAATTATATTATTCCACAAGGTGGCTCCATGTGGTGTAAAGTTGTGGGTAAATATCATGTTTGTTTTATAAACATACATTTGTTTGTTTTTTCTAAACTGTAATACAATTTTAAATTAGATTGTTTTATGATGATTAAAATTATCATTTATTCTTATGCACAACAATTCATATGTATTATTACCAAAACAGTTGCTGTGGAGATACATAAGCAGATCAATTATTATAAAAAAAATAACAATCAACATCTTTATTTGACTGCATTTGCAACTCACTCACTCTGGCCCATCTCCATCTCCTAGACCCAAGTATAAACAAATATAGAAAAGTTATTTTAAGTCGTATTAATATTTCACAATATTACTGTTCTACTTTAATTTCGAGCTATTAAATGCAGCCTTGGTGACCATAAGAGACTTCTTTCAAAAGCATAAAAAATCTCGCCGACCCCAAATTTTTGAATGGTAGCGCATATTTGTAGTCAAAGTAAAATCGTGGGGAAAAAAAAAATACATCAGCATTTACTCAAAACACTGCAGTATTTTATTGTAAGCAAAACATGCAACCAAGTAAAAGGGGATAATTTGTTAAGGGCTGACATTAAAATCTCAGGCTAAGAAATTATGTGATATTGGACCAGAAGTGTGCAAAATCTAAGTCATGGACTGAGTTGACTAATGTCAAATGTGTCCTTTAAAAGTGTGATACACTATTTATCCACATTTCCTTTATTGTTTTACTAAAATGGTCCCTAAACATGAACCGGAGAACAAGAAAAGCATTAAACCCTGTAAAAACCTTTATAAAAATAACAAAACAGAGAATCTCACAAAATACATACTGATGTGTATCAATACTGTTCAGCGAGCAATACAACATTTATTGATGATAATCATGTAAATTATGAGACAACGTTTGTGGGAATTGTGGGGGAAATCCAAACACAATAGTCTGGCCTTCAATGCTTCATATGGTACATAATCGTGACGTCTAATAATGCATTTATAGCATGTGCGGTCAAGTCTATTTCACAATATATATATACATATATATATTTACATTTTCACAATGGCAACCATCAGCAAACTAGAGTGTCTTTTGTGTCATAAACGTATGTCATTCAAATAACAGATGACGTATGTTTGTATTTTCATATGGATTAGCACGATTATCTTCAAACTAATACAAAACAATATATATGAACTAGTGTTTCAGGATGTCTTGATAATGAGAACTAAACAAAAGCAAAAAAACAAGAAACATACTAAAGAAAGAAAAAGAATCTTCCAAGCCATCATTGAAGGCAAAGGCAATGTAATATCTGTCACATATTTCTGTTTCTTATACATACATAAGCAACTTTCAGCTTTTACATTTTTGGTTTTGATAGTGTATAGCGATGAACATTACCAAACATTTCCCCCCATAATCCATTTCTGAATGAAAATCGGAGAGTCTTCCTTTCTGGCAATTGTTCAAAAAGGTGTTTTTGATAGAATACTTGTTAGAGAGCACAAACTAACAGGGGATAATATGATATCAGACACTGAGGTCATATTAGCGATACATATAAATCAAGGCAGAGATGATCGATCATCTCAAGTCAGTGTTTGAAACTTGTTCAGAAGCAGCTGAACTTGGTTTCTGGGTTCGGGGCAAAGTGGGTGTATGGCGCTTTACCTGCATAAACACAGCTAAGAGTGACCGTCGAAATGTCCAAATCTTATTAACTTAATGACTTCCCCATTTAAATGGATTCTGATTCAATGTACTGCAAAACAAACGTCATTACCCAGATCCCCGACAGACAGGGATATATTTTCAACAAAAATTAGTTAACTATTGGATTCTTCAAGATCATTTTTTCAATTAGGCAGAAGAGCTACATCTGTCATGATTTCACAATGGAAACAGTGGCATCAGCAATGCAAATTGGCCAAAAGACTCGCTTGTATGTTGCGTATCTGAATTTCTGACGTCCTTACAAACGCTACAGAAAACGGAGAAAAAAGCTCATTATGTTTGAACAGCTATTCATATTCTTTTACAGCGTTTACACAAAGGATTTTGGTTACCAGCAACACTCGGCTGTAATGTTAAAAGTACATTGCTCGTTTCTAAATCTTTACACTTACAGCTGGCTCTCGTACTTATAATTACAGGGAAAACAAGATGTCAGGTTAGCATTTGTTAAGACATGGCCTTTTGATGAAACCCTCAAGGTTTTTGCAAGTGAACATAAGATAATAAGAAATAAAACTGGTAAACTAATTCAACTAATTCAAAACAATAAAGAGCATTAGTGCTTGTTTTTAATGATTTGGAGTAGTAAAGGGCATCTGTCTGTATAAACCAAACAAATATATCGCTCTTTATGTCAAATTCCTTCACTTAAGGGAGAGAGGGAATAAGGGAGCATTTGAAAGCAATCTGAAGTGAAAACGGGGAGGAAATGTCATTATAGACCATAATGACTTGATGCTTCCACCATTTCCGGAATCAGTTATATTTTCATCGACTCGCAGACAGTGTCCTCGAAAACAAACAGAGTGAGGAAATGACTCCAAATGAAATCTACGACAACAGAGTTGTTTGGACTGCTCTCTACGATAAACGTAAGCCTGTTCCTTTATCTAATGGACAGCTTTTGATGGCTTTTATGGGGAAAATATGATAATCAGCTTTGAAATGGTATGAGTGACCTCCACACATCCTATTTCACGTTTTACACAAAGATGTATAAGAACAATCTGTTTTATTGGGCAAAAATAATCAAAGGAAATACTTGAATATAGCTGAATTGATACTGGAAGGTCTTTTGAAAAATGCTAAAGGAAAAAACAATAAACAAACAAAAACAAATAGTCAATATATCACTATGAACAAACAAAAGAGCAATCAGAATTGACCGTACCGATAAGGAGAGCTTCCTCTCAAGCACTATATCAAGTGATAACATTTTTTTTTTTTTTTTAGAAAACAAGGACTGTTCTTTTATGTATTTTCTTTTTTTTTTTCTTTTTGCTGAGAGGTAGAATGAAGCATTTAAATTGAAACACAACGACTGGTTGTTCCATCATTAACAATTGCCTCGTAAGACTGAAACAGTAACAGGTTTGTTAGTCGCCCTGTACCACCTAAAATACACTGTGAAAACTGTACAAACACATAATTGTTTTCTAAAATCTTGTAAAATATCCCAATGTTCCACGGTAGTATGGCATGATTGTGTGTGACCGTGTGGGACGTTAATCCAAATCTGAGGAGGGTGGATTGCTGGATCTTTAGCGCGAGCAGTCTGAAGATCCCACGCGGATGGATGGTGCTGATCAGTTGGAGGTGTCAGAATGGACACTTCCGGGTCCTTCCGTGGGTGAGGTCACTGAGGAGGGTGTTGGGGCGTCTTGCCAGCCTCCGTTCGCCTTTCATGAGGAAAAAACGAAAGACAAAATTATAAAGTGCATATTTAAAAATACAACGCATATCTGAATGCAAAGATGTAGGTTACCGTCTACAAACCCCGTTGTGAAATCTAAACGAGAGCGACTATGACGAATTCCCTCACTATAAACACGCTTTTGCAAGAAGTGAGTCACAAAGTGAGGCAGTAAAAAGAAACAGCATTAAGCTGCATATTACGAGTCATTTCCAGAACATGATTTTCAAAAGACAGATGATGGAGGAATCAATTATTGCAAATTATCACATTGGCTAAAGGAATGAAAGTATAATGGAAACCTAAAATGGAGGCCATTACATGTCCTGGAGACAGGTTGCCTAAAGAGCATTTGGGGCATTAATAGCAATTTCCATGCCATCAGAAAAAGGACTAGAAATGGGCTTTGGCAGCCTCTTATTTTCCCAGCCTGTTATTTTAGATAGAGGCAGTCTGTAATCAAAAGAGAAAGAGCAGAGCGAGGAGAGAAAAAAACTTTTCAAATCTTCAGCTTTGGTGACACCCCATGTCTATTTCAAAGGCGTAATTACAGCGCATGGGCGAGAGGAAAGCTCCCCCACATAAATGCTTTATGCTTTAAGGCCGTCATTATCCACAACTGAAAAAAGGCGAATAACTTATCTGGGTGGAGAAGGAAAAACATCATGTTATTTAAGACAGTGAATTTGTTGTAAGATTGAGACACTTTCTCTGGCTACATTATCACAGCGTTATGATGCAAATGTTTGGGCTGCTGCTTTCTTCTTTTTTTATCTATGGTTACAAGTGTTCAGGTATAAAATGTTGTTGATTTAATTATTAATACGAACATGAAATCAGTTGAAATCAAACTCGAGATTTATGAGATTTATTTATTAGAAATGACTGCAAGAATGTCACTCAAAAAATAATTATATATAATAATTAAATTATATATATA